TTAGCACTGGAACAAGGGCCCAGAGAGGTTGTAAGTTCTCTATCCCTGGAGGTTACCAAAACTGAAGTAGACAAGGCTCTGAGCAACTTGATGAGACTGCAGAGCTAGCCCTCTTCAGCGTAATGTTGGAAAAGATCAACTATAAAGGTCCCTTCTAATCTAGTTTGGTCATAAGTCTATCTAATTTATCTCTGTGCATATCAAAAGGCTTTTTTAAGACTTTTCTGAGCTTGCCAACCTTTTTCATTCCAGGATGCTCTGCCTCTAGATCATACTCTCTTATATTTTATCTTTGTTTTTCTAGTTGCTGCTTCTCTGTAACTTCTCCTTCATCCTCCTTGTGAAACAGTCATTCTCAATGGATATCCCTAGATCTTTTCCAGACAGCACCAGAATGACATAAATTTAGACTTAGTCTGCTCTGCTAAATCTGCAAATAGCAGCAATAGTATTTATTTCACACATAAGCCACACAGTGATTTTATAAGCAGTAGCAACAGTACTCACATCATCATTTTATGGTGTCAGGTATTCCATGGGCACAATCCACTACCTTAGTTAGCACTCAGCTTATTTATAGAAAAACTCTGAGTATAAAGAAATAAAAATATATACTTGTTGTGGTTTGAGGCTTGGAATGGGGGCGTGACCTTCCAGCAACTGGGAGGACCCCGGGTGGGGGTGAAACCATTGTATTCCCTCCCCTTCCCACACACACTCTGCTAAGAGGCAGGGAGTGGTTTCTAATTTCACTCCTGCCTTGGAGCTCAGAGAGGAAAGTTGTCCTTTCACTCCGTGGGACCCTGGAACCATTTCTGAGGGTTTTATATATTTTACTTTTTGTATTTTTCCCCTAATCTTTGTATATATTATTTTCCTTACCTCCTTTTTTCATTTTCTTTTTCCTTGTTGAACAATATACTTCATTTTTTTTCCCAAAGTGCCTCTCTCTCTCTCTCTGGGTGGGGGGTGGGGGAGAGGCGAGTACATAGTTCTGTTCCGTGTGGGTCCTGCCCTGAACCCCTTTTTACACGGAACCAGGACAATACTCCTATCAGAGTCTACATTCACTAACAAGACTGATAAACAAGGCACCTTTCTACTCATTGTAGCTGAGAAAATTTCCATTTCCAAGGCCTGCATTATCTGACAAAAGTATAGCGCCTTCCTCTTGTAGTGCCCTGCTGTGATAAATGAGTCCTACCAAAATGAAAAAGAATCTATAGAAAGGTGGAATTTATCATTTATGTTGGAGTAAATGGAAAAAATATTTGGAGTAAAGGTAAGCTTCAGAAAAGATATCATATGTGATCACAAACAATAGCATAGAAGATTCCATTATGATTATTCTTTCTGCTGTTCCTTCGAACATTTATCGAAGAGTATACTATAAAATTTAGAACAATTCCAAAGCAGTCATCAGGAACATGCAAATTTAAGTTATGCTTGCTTTAAATAGAAAAGCTCCTTTCCCTCTGTACTTAGTGACTGCTGTAACATGACTGCCTGGAGATTAAGTCCAGAGCATTTGTTGCTTGAGTGTCTAGGAGCAGTAATTGAAGCTGAGGGCTGTAAATTTAAAGCAGTGTAGCCTTCCTCATCCTCCATCTCCATCTTGTCACACTTTTCTCCTTCAATAGCAGTTCTCTGGGAGAAGGGGCACACTGCAATGAGGCCAATGCCGAGGCAATGACAAGGGTTCATGCTTCAGCATTTCCAGTGAAGCCTCAGAGGAAGGTGTCTCTGTTCTGATTGCTCTGCCATAGTAAGTGTGCCGTGCCAAAAGCACGTTCAGGAGTTGGCTGACCCGTCCTCACTCTCCACCTCTAACTCTGTACACGGCCTCGCTCCAGCACTGGGCTGCACTTCTTAAACATCTCTTCCTGAGACCAACTCTTCCTGAACGGAGCACTTGGCCAGACATGATGAGTCACGTCGTGGTGACAGGGTGAGTCAGAAGCAAGTTACAAGTGGGGAATTCCTGTCTTAGCTGTTCTGTTCTTATGTGTAAAGTTCAGAATCTCCTATTTCCAAAATAATTTCAACAGACTGGAAATAGACCGTAAGGACTGAGCTATTCTTCCTGCCTGCCTGTGCAGATATTTTTTCAGAGCAGAAATATCTCTTGTTGCCTGTATTTCTTGTATTACATTTTACCTGTATGCAAAGCAAAGGCATGATGCAACAGCCAGAAGGAAAGGGTGCTGACATTCTGTTTTTTAACACAGACACACAAGGAGTAGCAGTCACTGTGTATTCATGGTGTATCCATAGCATCCTTATAAAAAAACTCACACTAAATATCATGTAAAAATACTTGTCTATGGGCTGAAAACTGTATGTTGGCACCTTAGTGTAAAAAGGGCTTTTCTGCAGATCACTGGGAGTCAAGTGTCTCTGTGCTGCTGAATTTCCTTTCACATTTTTGTGACACTAACCTCTTCAGTCTTAGCGGCGACTTCTCAAACATGTAACAAACTGCTTTGGGGAAACATTTCTCCAACCTTATTTTACTTCTGGAGAGAAACCAGGAGGTAAAATAATTTTCTTGTATTATTTTGGTAGTTCTGAATTCAATAAGCAGTCTGTTAATTATATAACTTTTTTTTTCGAGTCACCTTTTAAAACAGATCCTGCTGCAAAAACAGAAGTAACAAAAGAGGAAAGGTGAGGCCTTATCACACTCTCTGCTCTTGCAAGGACTCGGGTCAAGTGAAATTTCTTGTTTCTTCAGACTAAAATGAAATGTAAGCTAAGGCAGGATGTTTGGGTCTGCATTTGAACACAGCAGGTGTATAAATGTTGTCAGCAGGTTGGACAAGCCAGCTGTGTTTATTAAGCAGAATGTGATCTTGCAAATTGCATTAGCTAGAGTCTGTGACTGGGGGGGTCTGTGGCAGGGAATGGAATGTAGACATGGGAAACACATTGCTGTATGGAACTGGGATTCAAAATACCATCCCAGCCAACACACAGAGAGTACATTTTGTCCTGTGAGGAAAAGCTTCTTTTGATGGAAAAGGAGATGCTGTCAGGCAGCATGTTCTTAAGCCCTACCTGATTGCTTCACCATCAGGGTGTGTTCTTTGCCAGTTGCAGCCTTGCTGGACCAAGCTGTTTGCTGCAGCGCTCTGAAAGCCTGCAGTGAACTTCCCTGGTGGAAACAGACCTGGGGGTGTTGGTTGAAAGCTGGCTGAATACAAGCCAGCAGTGTGCTCAGGTGGCCAAGAAGGCCAACAGCATCCTGGCTAGTATCAGAAAGTGTGGCAAGGAGGACTTGGCAAGTGATTGTCCCCCTGTACACGGCACTGGTGAGGCCACACCTTGAATACTGTGTTCACTTTTAGGCAACTCACCACAAGAAGGACACTGAAGTGCTGGAGCGTGTCCAAAGAAGGGTAATGAGGCTGGTGAAGGGTCTAGAGAACAAGTCTGATGCTGAGAGGCTGATGGACCTGAGGCTATTTAGCCTGAAGAAAAGGAGGCTTAGACAAGACCTTATTGCTCTCTAACTCCCTGAAAGGAGGTTGTAGTGAGATGTGGGCTGGTCTCTTCTCCTAAGTAACAAGTGTTAGGACAAGAGAGGGAATGGTCTTAAGTTGCACCAGGGGAAACTTAGATTGGATAATAGGAAAGATTTCTTTACAGAAGAGGCTGCCCAGGGAAGTGATTGAGCCACTACCCCTGGAGGCATTTAAAAGATGTGTAATGTGGTGCTTAGGGACATGGTTTAGTGTTGAGCTGGCAGTGCTGGGCTGGTTGGACTCGATGGTCTTAAAGGTCTCTTCCAACCGAAACAATTCTATGATTCTGTGAATGGTAGGACACTGCCTCGTGTCTTTCTCCTTTGGGATTTTTTTTTTGTTTCTGTTGGGTTTTGAGAAGAAGGTGGTAGCTCCTTCTGTTTCATTAGCACGGCACACTGTGAAACTGTACTCTAGCCCCACTTGTCTTTACAGTTACCAATACAGCTGCTGTACCAGAGTTTGGGCTGGCAGTAAACTGATCCAAAAGGTCAAGTTCACAATGAGATTATGGCTGCCTATCAGCATGGGGAGCTGTCATCCTCAGCTCATGCTTGTCTTTAACAAACTGCAGAAATGCCTAGGACTTAGGGTTGTGGTATTTTCACTATAGCTGGGTTTGCTGATCCTTGCTCAGCACATTAAGTTAGTAGTATGGCATTCCATGAAATATCCCCAAAATACATAAAAGGAAACTCTATTCATGCCTTTGGCTGAAACAGCATAACTCCTGCAATAGTTCAAAAAAAGTAGAAAATTAGAAAAGAACATAATAATTACTAGGAAAAAAATTAAGAAAAGAAAAAAATTAAAGGGAGAACTAACAGTGCCCCAGGAAATACAAAGCATGATATACAGCTAGACAGTCATAGCTGAAGGATATCTTCTCCTGTGACAGCTGCACAAGCCCTTACTAGGGTTATGAATGCCTGTGCTCTAGAGCAAATACGATTATTAATACAGTTCTTTATACTTTGGCCCAACTTCTGAGTATAACTGTGTTTGTGTGTTGTGTACTCCAGCCTACTAGTGTATTAGAGCAGACAAATCAACAAGACATCAAGCATCTCCTGAATGGAAGTATTTAATCCTTGTTGTGTGTGTTCTCTCACAGCTGTACACTTATGAACTGACAACTGGTATTAGGAATGTATCAGCAGATGCTGGGAGAGGAGCAGTATCTTTAAGTGCTTGCCTTCTCTTCTTCATCACTTTTGACCATTTGGGCTACCACGTTGGTTAAAACTGACTACTCATTTGGCAGTTTTGGATGTGGACCAACAGACTTGGGTTGCTCCTGGAGCCTGTCATCGTGCCCGTTGCCTTATTATGAAGATATTTTAAAATATGTCTAAAAAAGAATGAAAACAGGGAAATGTATTAGGTCTGATCCAACATATTTAATTTCTCATGTGATAGTTCTCAAAAACAAAATAAAAATTCCAACCTTGCAGAATGTCTTCCAGCTTCTCATAATCATTTTGGTCTGACAAACCAGTCTTGCCAGTGGTTGTCAACTTGCTGTAACTGGATGGCAAGCTTTTCACAGATATAGTGTTGCTCACTTGAACATGAAGTGCCATATGCATCCGTATAATGAAAATATGCACAACTATATTGGGATCCTGTATGTGTCCTAGGAAGGAAAAATCTTTGTTACATCTCGTCTTATTCGAATGGTCCATACTTGCCACTTCCAAAAGAGCCATTTTTGCAAGAATTACTTACGTGGCTTTCACAAAGCATATACATCTCCAACAAAGAAATAATGTGCTCAGTGACCTTGTGCACCAACTCTTAGGAGGCTGACCCTGTCCTGAACATCCCAACAAGCATCCTCAGCAGAATCTAAGGGTTGGTCATAAACCATTTCTTGTACCTGACAGTAAGAAACACTAACTCCTGTGTACTGACTGGAGGGTGGCAGTTGCTGTTTCAACAGACATGCTAAGAGGAGACTGCTCAATGATGGAAAGGGAAATTAGCAAAGCAGGGTTGAAAGCAAGAAGAAAAATATATTTCTGAAATAATACGTTAAACTAAAGTGAAATGATTCTAGAGAATTAACAGTGTCTTATGTAAAAAAAGAGTATAAAATCAAAAACATTGAATGAAACACTTCTCCATTGCAGTTTTTTTCTTGTGTCCTCACTGAAACAAGATGTCAGATACAAGAGTAACATATGACATTTATGGTCAGTTTGAAACCAAATTACGGGAATAAACTTTCTGGGGTTTTGTTTTGGTTTTTGTTGATGATTTGTGTGTTTTTTGTGTTTTGTTTTTGTTTCCCACCCCCTCAGAAATAGTGCCTAAATCACCCTCTGAGCAGTTCTGGGTGAGAACAAAAAAAAAATAATTTTGAAAAGGAAAAGTGAGACCCAGAACACAGAGAAAGCTGCATAAAAGCTGGCTGTTCAATGTGCCCTTGCTTTTGGAGGATCTGGCAGTTTTGTGGGGGTGAGGAGCACATTTATATATTGTGGGAAAACTGATCACTTACCAAGACTTTTGTTCTTCTGTAAGAGCTGTGTTGTCTGCCCAATACCAGCCTCTCTGTTCATGTTTAAATGTTAATCCAAGCCAGGGTGTTCTTCTAGGAGTAATTTTTTTTACCAGTTCCTATGGAGAGTAAGGACAATTCAAAACAGATATTCAGGAAGATATGAAAAATGGGTATTTAGGCTCAGAAATTGAAAATGTTGATGGAAATTGTCTAAAGAACATAAATACCACAAATTGTTAACTTGTCCAGGCAAGTTCTGCACTCAAAGGAGAAGTATCAAAGGAAAAATGACAGTACAGCTGTTTTTAATCAGAGAGAAGATACTTCTAGTTCTGAAGAGCAATGTCACCATTATCAACCCAGTTGAAACCCTTTGGGTGAAACACTGGGTAGCTCTCCCCTCTTCAATCATGAATCATTGCTACCCCTTTACTCTGTCCTTAGCATTTGTCAGCAGCAAAGCAGAAGCCTTGGCAGGGAGCTGTTGGGTTTAATTTGTTGAACCGTCACATTGGGCTCCAGCATGAACAAAATCTGGACCATGACAAGTAGAGGAGGTCTTAAAGTTAGGCATTTAGTGATATTTTGTTCTTAAAAAATACTCTGAGAAGAACAGAAAAAAATGTAAACTTGACTAATTCTGCCTTTTTCACTGCTGTTTGAGGAAAATCTCTAAAGATTAGAATTAATTTTTTCTGTTGTTCTACTCCTTCCTTCGCTTACCATTGTCACTCCCAGTGTGCTTCTCCATTTTCTCTTTTTCCTCACACCTCTGACTGCCATGATGAAGATGGCTAGAACAGATTGCAATCTTTGGCTCGCAATCTTTGCTGTCACCAGTTTGGGAAGGTGAGAATAAACCTGCCCTCCTTTACTTCTGGGAGAACCCTTACAACCTGCAGCTCAGTGAGAGAGGACCTGGCATTTGTCGAGTGCTGGAGAGCAGGCAGGCTCAGCCCTGACTACTGGCTCTTGGGACGTCTTTTCTGCCTTCAGTTTTCCAATATGTCTGCTGGCACCCAGAGGCAAAATCATTGTTTCATTCTGCATGTGGAATTTTATCTTCCCACCTCAGTTTGTTTTCATTCACTAAAAGATTAGGCCAGATTTCAACAACTCACTGCCAAGTGGTTTAATTTTGATTGAAAAGATGAGACCAACTTTTGTGGCAAGAATTTTTACAAAATGGGGAGAACAATGGTTTGCCTATGGGTAAACAAGGTTACAGGAGGTTTTCATGCTAATATATTACCAAATACTTGCATGGATATGTAATAATTGTTAAATTGGTGAAAGCATTGCCCACAACAAAACGCCCATGAGCTCGCTTTCACTGGTCATCCCAGTAAGCAGCCATGGGAAGCCAAGGCAAGATGGGCTGTCTCTGTCCACCAGCAGCTCGAAGGGCTGCACTTTGTGTGGCAATGATCAGTCCTATGCCTTGGGACTGCCCAGGAGAACCTAATCACTGTAGAAAAACTCCTGCTTACAGTGTCATTTAAGAAGAACATGTATGAGGTGAGTAGCTGATAGGGTGCATGAACTTCCTCCACAGTAAACAGGGTGAGAAAACAATCCATACCAGCTTTGCTCTGTCTTTTATCATGAGAAGAGTAGAGTTTTGCGAGGAGCAAAACTGGTCGCTCTGTTGCTGTGACTTCTTTTCCTTGGAGTGATAGTAACAAGTATCGCCACCTTCCCACTTCCAGTTTGCTGGGCAGAGTACACAGTTCTTGCCTGGAAAAGGAGAACCATAACCCTGTTTGATGCCCAGGGTGTCTCTCACAGACCATCGCTGGTGGCCTGTGACGACAAGATCCATAGGGACTGAGGATATTTGAGGTGGTCCTCGTGCAGCCAAAATTCCCTTGTGGTCCCATAAGGTTCAGCTAATGTCAGAGATGGAAACTGAATCACTTCCTTACCTCTCCTATTCTTTTTAGCACTGAGAAGAGGTTCAGGTGTGGCAAATGGGATTTATTTTGCCTAATTTTATGGGTCTACAAAGATTACATGAATCAACCCATCTGGATTCCTATTTTAGTCAATGGACAGAAGTAGATGTGTCTCATATTTGGTTTTTTTTTTCTGTCATTTCAAGTGTATTTCTTGGAAAGAAACAGGCTGTATCCTTGCACTACCAATTTCTCTTCTTTGAATGAAAGGGAGACCTAGATATTTAGGTATTTAGCTATTTATTATTTGTAGAATAATACCTGGACAAGTGAAATCCCCTTTCCTCACAGTCACAGTAGGACCCCTGTCCCCAGCACACCTACTCCTCAGTAAAATTTCTAAAGATAACTATTTCTTTTTCTGGCTCATTATCAGATGCTACTTAAATAACTGATCTGCAGCTAACTGGTTGCAGGAACAACTCTGCATTCTACACAGGCAGAAGACAGGGAGAAGACTCCCAGGTCAGTTTAGCTATGCCTCACTGCACATCACTTCTGACTTTAGGAGATTCCTGTCTTACCTGGGGTTGGTTCTAGCACACTGCACTGTGTGTAGACTGCTGCTCACATAGAGTGCATTAAGTTGTTTAACACTCAGGCACCACTGTGAAATTGTCTATTAGATGTAGATGAACATGTTGTAGAGATCCCTGAATTAGCACTGACAGGAGCTGGCATGTCCAGAAGGCATCCACAGAACCCTCTTCTTCTGGAAGCTAAATCCTAAAACGCTGCTGCCACTGCCATGCCCCACACCACTGCACATATGGCCAGGCTGCATTTCTCCCTCTGGGCATCACATTATTCAAACAGACTCACTGCCTACTTTTTAGGTGGTCACATCTGAGAAGACACAGGCTGACTTAAGGAGACAGACCTGAACAGACACAGAAGGCACATCTCATTTCCTTCCTTGCCATGTTGAAAGATAAGCCATCATCAAAACTTGTTGATTTACCATTATTTTTAAAGTCTTCTTCCCCTTCCAAGCACAGCCAATTGCCAAAGGTCTGGAGCATATTTGAGAAATTTGCATGCAGCTCATTCTTTGTCATGTTGAGGTCCTGAAATTGTGTCACATAGTCCTTGTGAATCTGGAAAACTGAAATTCACAATAAGACATTTTTTCCAGTGCCGTCCTTCAGAAAGGGTGACATGCAGATAAGGAATGTTTTTAGTAGATCATTAGGAATAAATAAATCATTTGGGATAAATGTTACTCCTCCCTGAACTCTTGCATGTAAGGGCTGCTGAGATGGAGAATATTTGCATAGTGGATTTATTATTATTTGGCTTTTACTGAACAGCAAAATTAAAGTGCCACTACTTATAATCTATTTCCATTGTCTCTCTTGCTCTTATATTGGTTTCCAGGATGTGCTTTTTTTCTAAAAACATGAACTTCTGGATCATACTGGAATTGTTGCATGTGAAAGGTAATGGACGCAACCTGTTTACTGTGCCACAAAGTTTTTCCTTTCTCTTCATATCCAACATTATCTAAGAGGAATTCACTCCATCATTAGTCAGTACAGCAAGATTGTGGGTACAGTTTTTAAGAGACCAGACAACAGCATCTGGAGCAAGCAGTGTATCTCCTACTCCACCCCTTTCCAGCTCCCCTTCATGTTGCTCATTTCTAACTTCATCATGTTGAAAAGAGGACAAAGATGCTGTGGCCAGACAAAATGATCTGTTTTGTCTGGCTGCCTCTTCTCAGATGAATGAGAAATTGCACCTGAAGGAGATGTCAGTCTGGTGTTATTCAGTAGCTTGAGCCCCTCAGCAAAGAGAAAGGCATTAGTACTCACATAAAACTGTCAGGGTCACCAGCGCCACCAGCAATACCAGGCAGAGCGTGAACAAAATCAGGACTGCTGGCCAGCAAGACCGAGGTGAAGCAGGAGGCCCTGGGAGGAATTCAGTCATGAAATGGAGGTGCAACACTAAGAGAGTGGTGAACATCTTTGCCTCATTAAATTGCAGCCAACTTTGTGGTGCATTGGTCAATAAATAATTGCTTTTACTTTATGGTTGTATATTCCTTCTTCAAAGACTCTGCACACAGCAAAAGCTGCCCAAACAGAGAGAGCAAGAGTTCACAATGGCTCAGTGGAGAACGTGAACAGCCCTGGTCCTTTCAAAGGCCACAGAACATGACAGGAAAGCTGATGGCTCAAAGCTGAAAACAAACACGCACTGTATGGTTGTGGTTATTTGTGATGGGCAGCATACATCTGTGATAATTTGGGAAGCACTAATCTGAGTGCTACAGTAAACTCCTCTGGTACGTCACGGTGGTTTGAGATTTCTAGCTAGGAATTCACAGAGAATTTTTCTGTAATAAGGGTTACAACCTAGACACAGAAGTAAGCACTCAATGAGGAGGAAAAGAAACGATCTTTCTGTGAGCAGAAGAATTTTTAAGCACGTGGGTCATCCAAAAGAGACCTTGTTTATAGGAGCTGGAAGATTTAATGGGTTAAGATCACAAAGTCATAGAATGGTTTGGGTTGGAAGGGACCTTAAAGATCATCTAGTTCTAACCCCACTGCCATGGACAAGGACATCTCCCACTAGATCAGGTTGCTCAAAGCCCTGTCCAACCTGTCCTTGAACACTCGCAGGGACAGGACATCCACAGCTTCTTTGAGCAACCTGTTTCAGTGCCTCACCACCCTCATAGTGAAGAACTTCTTCCTTATATCAAAACTAGATCTACCCTCTTCCAGTCTGAATCCATTCCTCCTTGTCTTATCACTACATGACCTTGTAAAAAGTCCCTCTCCACGTGCCCTTGTAAGATGCACTGCAGGAGGGAGAAAAGCATTCAGCTTGTCAGGGAAGCACTACACCTAAGGCAAATATTAAAGCTGCCACTCTATGGACTTTGTGGAGAAATTTAGTGTGTCAGGCTGAAGGAACAGGAATCGAAACTATGCAGTGTGTCTCTCTTACATATAAGCTGTGGTCATCTTCTGTGGTGAAGCAATCCTGAGCAGAAGGTTTGCTTGTACAAGACATGACTCTACAGAAACTGAACCTCACTTGACAGAAACTTGGGCTGATGAATACTCAGGTGAAAGAATGTTGGCATGGATGTTGTCTTGAACTGGGACAGAGATCACTGCTGTCTTATGTTCATCCTTCCAGTCACCATAAATGGCAGGTCCCCTCCAGCTTCTACAGTCAGCGTGCTCCCAGTCTGCCTGGGATGAGACCAGCCTCAGTGCACAACAACTTGTGGAGCTTCTTGGGGTTTGTGCTCACACAGTCCTCAAGTTTCTCAAGGTTTCTCTGTTTTGATGCTCCACCACTTGGTAGCATCAGCTACCACCCTAGTTTAGTATCATTAATAACTTGCTGAAGACAAACTTTTTTTTTCTTTTTTTAAGACCCTGAATTATACTTTAGTCATGCTTAAAACCATAACTCAACATAAACATGTTCAAAAAACAACAGCATTTGAAAACACTGCTCTTTGCTACAGAATTCCCCAGGGAATTTCTTCACAATCACAAGCAAATTGTCCTCACTTGTAAACCTCTGCTCCAGAGCCTGAGCCCACAAACAGCTATTACCTTCTAGGCACTTGTTTTCCTATGAGTTACACCACACAAATCTAGAGCTTATCTGAACAATTTAATACGAGCTAATAAAAATTACTTTAAAATTAGTGTTTAAAATAAAGCATTTAAAATGCACGCATCCCTTTAACAGATACAGCCATTTCAAAGACGAGTGTCTTAATGAAGGCTAGAATTTTAGAAGTGAAATAAAGCGAGTCAGTTAAAGCTAGTTCAGTTCTAAGCTTGAGTGCAAATGCATGGAGAAATTAAAAGGAACTCATCCACTTTAAAAATTGGTTCAAGTTAACTTGCCCTTGAGGTTTAGAAAATTAGTCTAACACTGAGTCATATGATTTTCTGCAAAATAATGAGATCACGAGTTCAGGTGTACATTCCAAACTCTGCAAATTTCAGGCAGAAATGACAGCAACAAGAACCAGGATACATTTATAACTAGTATAACTTTTCTGATATTAACAAAGCTAACAAAGGCCCCTTGAGCATATAATTAAAAGTATTTTCTGTTCCATCTCCTTTAGCAAGAATAAATCATAAAAGTTTCATAGATACCACACCTTTTTCCTTAGTATCTTCAGGCTCTGCGATATTACCCAGTTCATGGCTGTTCTCAAATTTCAGATTAGCATATGTTACTTCTTCTGTCATAGCTGGTAAAAAGAAAGGTGTCAGAACAAAAAGGTAGAAAAAGATCTAGCATTTGCAGCCAGTAAGCTAGGAAGAAATTCTACTCCTTTGTGGGGTTTCGTTGAGCTGGCAGATGCAACTGAAGCAGCAGAGAGGTCGGGGCACATCTGAACTTTCTCGATCACAGTACTAAAGAAAGTGTTCCTCTTTCTCTCATTGCTATATTCTGTTTCTTCCTTTTTATCCTACTTCTGTGCTCCCTGATTGGCTTCTATTTCTTTCTACCATGACTGAAGAAGATGCAGCTACTTGTGTAGAACTCTTTTCATCCAAACTCTTCTTTTGGTTACACAACATTTAATTCCTGATTACTTCAGATTCAGGCTTGAAACATAGAACTGAATAAAATGTTCTACAGGTTTGAGGCTGTCTTTTGGTTTGGGCAGCTGTGTTCAGCAGCAGATTTGTGATCACGCTTAGTTTCTGTTTCCTAGCGAAATGCACTGACAGCAAACCAGAAGGTGGACTTGCATCTTAAAGCTGGCAAATTATGCTCTCATTCAAAAGAAGTAAGCACTTTAGCTAGAGGCTAGCACCTCAGCTAGGATATGTCAGGGTGTTGACATCTACACCACCTTCCCAAAGTGATTGTTTGGCCTGGGACCTCTGAGTCTAACTAGAAGGACCTCTTGATAAAAGCTACGTCTCAGAAGGTAATTTCTTCTGCTCAGTTTTCTGGCATTAATGTTTTATTTCCATTTCTTGAATAATTTTCTTTATTCTTCATTCCTTCTCCAGGTCTATGGCATAAGGAAAAATGTACACTAACACTAATATTTTGATACTGCATAGTAAAGTGAGTCTTCAGGAAAATACATTTCATATATCTTCCTCACAAATATGGACACAGCTGTAGAAACAACCTTTCTCTGATGTGAACAGTCAATCCTACAGAGGAAAAGAAACAACAGGGAGATCTGGTTAGCCAAGGAGGGACTACATGTTTCATTGCATGAAAAATTTACCACCTGCTCTACCACTGTGTGCCTCTCATGGGTCTACTGGTCACTTCATTTCTCTGGAAAGCAGTAGCTCTTTGTTATCTTGGTAGACAGTGCTTTGCTGGACTATTGCTATTGCCTAAATTTCGTAACATGTGACAGATTTTGTAAATGGCATAACTGAGACCATGAGACAGGATCTTCTAGAGCAAGAGCAAAGTGTTCGTTTGATGCAGAAACATTACAGATTCTAGCTGGAGTAGAAAGGCAGAGAGACACACTCCTTAATGAAAACAGGAGCAAGCAAATAGATAATCTGACAAGTCTTATGCCACTTCATGATGTTTTTGAGCACTTCCACAGTTGTGAAACCTTAAATGTGCATGATGAAAGCAGGATGTCTGGAGTTTCTGGTACAAATTTTGCAATTTAGCAAAAACAAGAAACAGAACAGAAATAGGTGATGCATACATATTAGTGAGTGGTTATTAGAGTGGTTAGTGTGAGGCTTACACACACTGTTCTATGCCATGTCAGAAGTGTAAAGCATTGTAAAAATGAGCAGGAGTATGAACTAATCCTGCTTTGTACCTCTTGAACTACATAACTGAGTCTTAGGCTTCCAATTTTCATTTTACTGAGAAAATGAAACAAACGTCATCGTTTATATCAATGCTACAAAGAAAATTACTAGTTTAAATTAACAAAAGATTCAGATTGTTAAAGTACTGGATCAACTATGTAGCTGGAACATAACAAAAAAAAGACATTTAATACAAAATATTTATAAAAAAAGAAAAAAAAAAAAGTGCCAGCTTTTCCAGAAACCAAGCTACCAAAAATCAACTCAACTTGGATTGTTTTCTTTCAGGAGATGGGGAGTAAGGGCTTGGTTTTGTTTGTTTTCCCACAAGTGTGCTTGTTTAGGGAAGTGTAAGCAGTAAAACATATTTATTTGTAAATACCTAAAATGGTCTATCAGCTCTGTGCACCGAAATAATTCTGGAGCTTCTGAACGTTTCACTCTATACCCTCTCTTAGACAACAAGGAAAAAGGTTTCAACTTTCAGAGGACCTTTGTTGACTTAAAGCAGACAAGCCCACACCCAGCACCTCTGATTGCTGTATTTTCATGTAAGCATTAAGAAAAATAAGCATCTGTACTATCACATACTTTTTATTTATTGATTTCATATTATAATTTAATATTTGACTATTGCTCAAAAAAATGAGAAAAAAATAACCATTTAAGAAAAACCATGTGTAAAGTCTAAATGAAAGAAAGTAAAATCAGGTTCTAACAGGAAACCTATATAATCATCCTATTGTAGCATGACTGTTTGTCCAGATGAGAAATGCTCTCTCCTCTCCATTTCTTAACTGACCCTTAGAGTGAGGAAGCACCTGGCTTTTTGATGTATTAAAAAGTGGCATAAAGGTGAGAATTTCAACATTTAATTGATCTAGGCACTGACTCCAACAAACTTCTGGACTTACAGGAAGAGGTCCTTGCTGTTTGTTTAGTTGATGCGTAATTTATTGTGTTGCATCTCAAAATGCATTCTGAAGATCTCAGAGACTACATTGTTTACTAGTTGGCAGTGCTGAATATAAATAGGAGAAAGATTTCTTGACTGAATCTAAACCACAGAGTGTTTCTAATTTGTTGTAAGCAAATATGGCTGCATTGCATTCTCCTGAAAATCTTAAGAAACAGAAAAATCAAAATGGTGTGAAATTCAATAATGCAAGTGGCAAAGCCACATTTATGGGAATTGGTAGCAAGAGCTTTCTGAATCAGAAGGAGCTCAAGAAGAGAAGGACCTGAGTATATTAATATTTCCAGTGAATGTGAGCAGGAACTACAATATACTATGGCTGGGAAAATCTCATACCCTTTACCTCAGAGAATGTATCTAGAGCAAAGGGAAGGAAATTTACATGATGGTTCATAAAGTGGTAGTGAACACACATCCAGTATTGTTCTCATCATGAAACTTTAAGAAGGATATAATCTGTTTGAAATAGCTGAACAGAAGGGTTCACTGTAAAAACAGACAGGCGTAGTTTCTGTCACACTTCAGGAGACTAAATTATAGATTATTTATGCCTGTTAGTTAAAGTAAGATTATAGTAGGAGAGTCCTGAAGAACAACTGTCCAAGAGTAAAGGTTTATAACTAAAATGCAGGGTTGTTCTGCCAATGAC